ACCTGTATAGTGGCCTATCTAGTCTATAGATTATGAACTGCTTACACCACCCCCACCTGTATAGTGGCTTGTCTAGTCTATAGATTATGAACTGCTTACACCACCCCCACCTGTATAGTGGCTTGTCTAGTCTATAGATTATGAACTGCTTACACCACCCCCACCTGTATAGTGGCCTATCTAGTCTATAGATTATGAACTGCTTACACCACCCCCACCTGCATAGTCGCCTATCTAGTCTATAGATTATGAATTGCTTACACCACCCCCACCTGTATAGCGGCCTGTCTAGTCTATAGATTATGAACCGCTTACACCACCCCCACCTGCCCCCACCTGCCCCCACCTGCCCCCCACCACAGACTTCCACGTCCCAGAGATATATTCACCCGGCGGCCGCCACTGTCCCGCAGTATTTATCTGTTTCGTGATGTATTCTCTAAGGCGTGCATTACTGGGCATCAATTTGTAAACACAAACAACACCCTACCCACCTGCCCCCAGCCCCCCCCCCCAAAAAAAAAAAATAAGATATAAAAATGAAATATCTATTGCGCGAGACTTCACGACCAAGAGTTATTGTGTATTTTTTTTGTTAAAGGATCAAAGCACAAATTCTGTCTGCCGCGCAGTCTAAGAAACTACGAGAGAGAGCCAGAGAACTATTTTAAAAGAGGGCCTCGGTGCCACAAAAAGCCACCCCCTCCTCAGCCGTCATTAATTCAGTTTGCCGTGGCGTCTCGCATGAGGCAATTTACATTTAAATACAGGGAGGGTGGTCGGCAGAGGCTGTAAAAAAGGCGAGCATCAATAGTAATGACCCAATCTCTGGAGAAATATCAAAGGGATAAATGTCACTTACAACCCCTTCATTATCGGAATTTATACTCGACGACGATGCTATTATTCCGCAGTAATGAAGGCTGCATGCTGACCCACACCCGCCTTGCCTGACACCACGGTTCCATCTCCCCAGCGCCCCCCAAAAACCTCGCTCGTCTCTCGCTCCCTCACTTTGCATCTCTCTTCCTGCCCTGCCCCTCCCCCCACCACCACCTCGCCCCCCGCCCTGCCCCCCCCCCTCTACTCCCCTCCATGGCCCCCCAAACGAAACACGCTGCCTGGTCTGGCGGAGCAAAGGAAGGAGGCTCAAAAAGAAAAGATCGGGCAGCTGTCGGGGTAAGAGCGTGTGCGTCTCGGATGCGTGAAGGTACTGACATGCGGGTAAAGGAAATAATGAAAGAATATAGCGAAAAAAAAAGAACGCCAAAAGTTGCTTCATTGATTGGGAGGGCTGGGCAATTAAAGAGGCAAGGAGAGAAGCGGCTGACAGATGCCATTAGCGAGCGGCCTCGCCGTGGCGGAGATTCACGCCGGATCCCGTGCAGAGCACCGCGTGGCGACACTCGGTGCGTTACAGCGCAGCAGCAGCAGCACAACACTCAGAGTGTTACAGCAGCACAACACTCAGAGTGTTACAGCGCACAGCAGCACAACACTCAGAGTGTTACAGCAGCACAACACTCAGAGTGTTACAGCGCACAGCAGCACACCACTCAGAGTGTTACAGCAGCACAACACTCAGAGTGTTACACCACACAGCAGCACAATACTCAGAGTGTTACAGCAGCACAACACTCAGAGTGTTACAGCGCACAGCAGCACACCACTCAGAGTGTTACAGCAGCACAACACTCAGAGTGTTACACCACACAGCAGCACAACACTCAGAGTGTTACAGCAGCACAACACTCAGAGTGTTACACCACACAGCAACACAACACTCAGAGTGTTACAGCAGCACAACACTCAGAGTGTTACAGCACACAGCAGCACAACACTCAGAGTGTTACAGCGCACAGCAGCACAACACTCAGAGTGTTACAGCACACAGCAGCACAACACTCAGTGTTACAGCGCAGAGCAGCACAACACTCAGAGTGTTACAGCACACAGCAGCACAACACTCAGAGTGTTACAGCGCACAGCAGCACAACACTCAGAGTGTTACAGCGCACAGCAGCACACCACTCAGAGTGTTACAGCAGCACAACACTCAGAGTGTTACACCACACAGCAGCACAATACTCAGAGTGTTACAGCAGCACAACACTCAGAGTGTTACAGCGCACAGCAGCACACCACTCAGAGTGTTACAGCAGCACAACACTCAGAGTGTTACACCACACAGCAGCACAACACTCAGAGTGTTACAGCAGCACAACACTCAGAGTGTTACACCACACAGCAACACAACACTCAGAGTGTTACAGCAGCACAACACTCAGAGTGTTACAGCACACAGCAGCACAACACTCAGAGTGTTACAGCGCACAGCAGCACAACACTCAGAGTGTTACAGCACACAGCAGCACAACACTCAGTGTTACAGCGCAGAGCAGCACAACACTCAGAGTGTTACAGCACACAGCAGCACAACACTCAGAGTGTTACAGCGCACAGCAGCACAACACTCAGAGTGTTACAGCGCACAGCAGCACACCACTCAGAGTGTTACAGCAGCACAACACTCAGAGTGTTACACCACACAGCAGCACAATACTCAGAGTGTTACAGCAGCACAACACTCAGAGTGTTACAGCGCACAGCAGCACACCACTCAGAGTGTTACAGCAGCACAACACTCAGAGTGTTACACCACACAGCAGCACAACACTCAGAGTGTTACAGCAGCACAACACTCAGAGTGTTACACCACACAGCAACACAACACTCAGAGTGTTACAGCAGCACAACACTCAGAGTGTTACAGCACACAGCAGCACAACACTCAGAGTGTTACAGCGCACAGCAGCACAACACTCAGAGTGTTACAGCACACAGCAGCACAACACTCAGTGTTACAGCGCAGAGCAGCACAACACTCAGAGTGTTACAGCACACAGCAGCACAACACTCAGAGTGTTACAGCGCACAGCAGCACAACACTCAGAGTGTTACAGCGCACAGCAGCACAACACTCAGAGTGTTACAGCAGCACAACACTCAGAGTGTTACAGCACACAGCAGCACAACACTCAGAGTGTTACAGCAGCACAACACTCAGAGTGTTACACCACACAGCAGCACAACACTCAGAGTGTTACAGCAGCACAACACTCAGAGTGTTACACCACACAGCAGCACAACACTCAGAGTGTTACAGCAGCACAACACTCAGAGTGTTACACCACACAGCAGCACAACACTCAGAGTGTTACAGCGCAGAGCAGCACACCACTCAGAGTGTTACAGCGCACAGCAGCACAACACTCAGAGTGTTACAGTGCACAGCAGCACACCACTCAGAGTGTTACAGCACACAGCAGCACAACACTCAGAGTGTTACACCACACAGCAGCACAACACTCAGAGTGTTACACCGCACAGCAGCTGCAGCACAACACTCAGAGTGTTACACCGCACAGCAGCACAACACTCAGAGTGTTACACCACACAGCAGCACAACACTCAGAGTGTTACACCACACAGCAGCACAACACTCAGAGTGTTACAGCGCACAGCAGCACAACACTCAGAGTGTTACACCACACAGCAGCACAACACTCAGAGTGTTACACCACACAGCAGCACAACACTCAGAGTGTTACACCACACAGCAGCACAACACTCAGAGTGTTACACCGCAGCAGCTGCAGCACAACACTCAGAGTGTTACACCACACAGCAGCACAACACTCAGAGTGTTACAGCAGCACAACACTCAGAGTGTTACACCACACAACAGCACAACACTCAGAGTGTTACACCACACAACAGCACAACAGAGTGTTACAGCGCAGCACCACACAACAGAGTCCTGAATGAGTCACGAGTGCGGTGTGTAAACATCAGCAATGGAGAGACAAAGGCGGCCGGGCGTGGTGTTCCCAACATATCCCCTCATGTGCTGTGCCGGCCTTCATAGGAATTGGTTGCAGTTCAAGGCTATACGGGGAACCTTTGTCTGTGTGTATATCTCCCAGCTCAGGTGTCTAGGGAACTGGTGTCATGCAGGAGATGTGACTGGGTCTGTCCGCTGCTCTACAGAGCTGGGCTGCAGCTGTGTGACCTGCCTGGTGCTTCTGGTAATAAAGCACGCGTGTGTGCGCGTGTGTGCGTGCACACACGCGCACACAAGAAGTCTATACATACACACATGCACACATGCAGTCTATACACACACACGTGCACACACGCAGTCTATACACACACACACGTGCACACACGCAGTCTATACACACACGTGCACACACACAGTCTATACACACACACGTGCACACACGCAGTCTATACATACACACACGCACACACGCAGTCTGTACACACACGTGCACACACGCAGTCTATACACACACGTGCACACACACAGTCTATACACACACACACGTGCACACACGCAGTCTATACACACACACGTGCACACACGCAGTCTATACACACACACGTGCACACACGACTAAATATGTACAATTTTGATTTAAAGCTTTCGTGACTGCAGGGATTCCTATTATTGGTTCTTTCGGTAAAGTCACGTAGATTTTCGCACCTGATGATGATTGGTTGTGTTGCAGTCGAAACGTCGTGAGAATTTTATTGTTTTATATATATTTTTTTATTTTATTGTTTCCCTTCAACGTGACTTTACCGAAATAACCAAGAATATGATTAAATATGTCTTAAGTAATAAGCGCGATTGCGTTGAAGTATTTTGTAAAGCAATTGTATGACGTCAAAATTGTTGTTGTCATTAATTTAGTGACGTCATTAATTATCGCGCGATGGACCGCACGTGCGAATTGTTGATCGTTGTGAACGGGAGCGATGGGGTCGACCTGCGGGCAGGCTCACGTTGGGCGAACTGCAGTTGGAATTCACTTGGAGGACGAATGTATTCATAGCGCAAGTTGAGCCGAGGACACGAGAAACCCCAATTCAATAGAACTGCTAAATACAGTCGCACGGTGCTTAGGAAGCGCACGTGGCGATCATCCACTTACCCCGGGAAGGGTCTTGATGTTGTGCAGCGCATTCTGTGCTTCCAGAGCAGCCTTGCGCGTGTAGAACGTCACAAAGCAGCAGCCTGCACGCACACACAAACACAAAGATCCCCCGTATAGGCTTAACATACTTTTGGGGTAAGTGCTGGAAGTGAGCGCCTTTGAAGGGCAGCATTGCACACGTAGGGGTGGGTGAACAGCACCACGCCCGCACGCCTTCATCTCACCAGTGGCGATGTTTACACCGCTCACCAGGTACTCATTTGAGACCGAGTCGACCTTGGGGAAGACCAGGACCGGTTCAGTTAGTAGTCACTGGTGTTGGCCGTGAGTGGGAATCGCACTCGCGTCGCAGGGTTCGGAGCGCAGCATAGCGCTAAACCGCTGCTCCACAGCCATACACACTCACGCACTCACACACAGCCACACACACGGTCACAGATCCACACACAACACGCGGACACGCACACAGCACACACGGTCACACGCACGAACTCTCACGTCAATCACGGGCGGCCAGCCACTGTGGGTGATCATACGCGTCATTTACCGCGCACGTTAGCGCACTCTGCGTGTTTATTTCTCTCTTGACGCAATTGCATCGTGCACGGGTGGGCGACGGATGTGAATCGAGAGGGAGGGGAGGGAATAAGAGAGAACGACGCAGGGAGGGGGGGGGGGTATGGTGTATGCGTTGATACGTTTTGGGATGAATTGGTGGCGGCGTGCACCATGGAGCTGCCCTTCGAAGCCGGTAACCCGAGTTCGATTACTGGCCACAGCTAACATCAGTGGCGAGTAATATCGCCCCTAAAGGTTGAAATGGCTACTGTGCCGAGTGCTCCCTGCGAACTGCTCCGCGTGGTGAAGTATGGTTAAGTAGCCTCCATGACCCACACGGAGTTTGGAGGTCCTCATCCCACGGTAGATTTACAAATCATACGAAGCAGTCCTGGGCCTCCCCGAGGCCGACTCAGCCTTACATTTTTTTTCCTGGCACAATGCGCAAAACATCGGTGATGGCGAGACAAAGGCGGTTCTGGCCACACCACCCCCATCTTCACCCCTCCTCGTGCACCCTGGCGACCTTAATAGGTGCTCGCGAACAGCAAATTGCCACACCGCAGGCTTCGCGGGGACGGCGGGGGCGGGATCTTTGTCTCCGGGATTTATTGGCCGTGAATGGAAATTGAGGGGTGTTACGGCGGGGAGGAGAGAGAGAGAGGCGAATGTGTGCCAAAGTTGTGGTCTCCATCTCGTCGTGCCCACCAGATGCAGCGAGGTAATAACGGAGGAATATTCGGCACGCACATTAAACACAGCAATTTCCGAACACGGTACAAGGGACCGCTATGTGCCACATTAGCACGACGCCTCTCAGTAGTTAATGCTCTTTATATATTGCTCTACGGTGTATATATAGTACAGTATATATACTGTACTCTATATGTAGCTCAGGGGTAGAGCGAGTGGCTCGCAATTTGAATGTTGCGGGTTCCACTTCTGGTTGGGGAAAGACTCAGTCCATCATCACCCCTCTGGAGTCGGTATAAAATGTGTACCGCTTTGCGAAGACGTCAACAGTGGTTGTTCTATGGATAGACTTGCTCCCCCCCCCCCCGCCATAGCAATGTGGAATTGCCACCACCCCGTGTCTCTGTCCACCCGGCGGCATTAAACGGGTACAACCACAGTTAGTCGATCGACGGGTTAAGCTTGGTGGGGTAAAGTGTGGCTACTCCCACATCTTCCAAGACACCGAGCCAGCGTGGAAGAGTAGGCCAAATACCCTTGAGATGGGGCTGCCTAGAGCTCCAGCTCGTGGAGGCCCTTCCGCCAGCCGTGGCATAAACGAGCAAATTCAGTCACAATTGAGAGGTTTCAGTCAAATTGCCTCTCTTTGACATAATGCACAGCAAAATAACATTGTTGTTGTTGATGTCCATTTAGTAAGAGCAATACAATAGACATCCCTTCGTCAATTGACTGCTAGATGAAGGCCTTCCCCGTGCTGTGTGGGTTACCGAGACTGACTGACCATACCTCCCCACGCTGGCCGGTATCGAACTCATGTTTTCCGTATGCATAGGGCAGGGGTCGGCGACCGAAAATAATAAGAGACAATTTTTTTGTTCGAATTCGGCGATGAACTCAATATTCCACGAGCCGCGATGCTCGTGGCGAACACGAGACGGTGGGGGGAGGGGGGTCCTTAATAAAGAACATCACGAAGCGGTCTTTGAAGAGCCGCATGCGGCTCCCCAGCTACAGGTCGCCGATCCCTGATCTAGGGGAATGCGCCAACCACTGCCCCACCGCTGCAGTTCTCCCCCCCCCCCCCCCCCCCCCTTAAGAAAATCACACGGTAACGGCGGATTAATTAACAATCACAGATTCAATACGTGTGTATATATTTTGTGTCAGTGACAGGAAATGCGACCGTGGTCTCTTAGTCCGTCTGGGCCTCCTTCTTCTCCAGTCAGCCCCGAGCGTGAAGATCTCCCTACCCCACGATCTCCGTGCCAGTGAAATAGTGCCCCTGCTATTTTTAACGACCCAATTATTTTCCACGTGGTAATGGCGAAGGACCCGCGGCACGTGTGTGTGTGTGTGAGAAGGCAGCGAGCCGCGTAACTAGCGTCAACGTTGGCTTTACAGTTATTAAGTCCGGAAAATAGATAGATTAGAATAACTTAAAGTAATACGGGGAGGGGAGATGGAAAGGCGACCATTAAGTACCGGCCTTAATTAAGCCGTCTTTAAGGTGGCGAATGCGTACGGCCGCGGGGAGAGATCATTCGCGGGACAGCGCGGATTTGAGCGGGGGTGGGTGGTGGGGAGGGGGGTCCTTCCCCCCCCCCTCTTTCTCTCTTTGATTATTTCCTTAAGATATTTTAGAAGAATTGGATAAAGACTTCTTAACTGTTTTTTTTTCTTTCAAAATAGCCTTTGCGGTCGCGGTGCAAAAATAAAAAACCCCAGCAGAACGATTCTAGATTTGAAGCTTTGGGAGTGGAGACTTGAGAGCGAGGCAACTTGCAGAGCGGAAGAGAGAAAAGTTGGGCCCAACGTTGGGAAGCGTTGAGAGCTGCACGGGGAATGTTTAACTCCGCTGTCAAGGCTACTTTGCGAATGGTACAAAGCCTGCTTATGAGATTCGGTAACGAGCGAGGAACTCGTGTGGCTGAGCTGTAGTCGTCTTCATTTAACCACCGCCATACATTTCCGGGCCACTTCGTCGGGCTATCATTTGTGGCAGCCAGGTCGCTTCTGAAAAAGAGCTACGTAGCTCAGTGGGCCTCACCTGGTAAAATAAAATAAAGATAGTTGTAGTCTCTCCTTATTCCACTTATTTACACGGGAAAGACTCGCCGAGTCCGATGACTTTTTCAGGAGGGGTCCCGCCAGATTTTCGCAAGAGGGGGCGATGATGACTGTGTACTGTATTATGTACCGTACTGTATAATCTCAATTTGGCGATCTGCGATGTAAATTTGGCAAATGCGGACCGTGGCGCGAGAACAAAACGGCCTACTCTTGCGAACGACGTGACGGGATCTTTAACGTCGCCTGCTCTGAGACTCGCTAATGAGCGAGGGAGCAGATGGCACGTCGTACGTCTAGGGCTCGTCACACACCGCAGTATTAATCAGGGCGGCCGCTGGAAATCGAACCGCGAGCTCCTGCAACGAGTTGGGCGACGGTGCTACCCCACGAGGCCGCGTTCTCGAGCTTCTGCAGGGCTTTAAGTGCAGCCCGTGCGGCCGGAAGGGTTCCCCACGTGCTGGGTCTTCTCCGCGTTCTCCCGGCCCCCCTCCCCACACAGAGCCAAACATTCACGGATAGAATCGGCCAGACATCCCAATGTAGGGACCTCCTAAAAAATTATTGGTCCTGGAGGCTCTCCTATACTAATAATAATAATTTATTATTGTTTGGATAAGAGAACACATGGAAGCTATTATCGACGTTGTATCGACTGTTGAGAAAAGTATACGCGGGCTTGAAGGGATGGTGGCGAGTGGTCGATACTAGCGGTGGAGTGGCAGCCAAAGGAGGTAACGTGAAGCTGGAGTAATGGGGTCAGCGCTTGTGCAGGGGGCTGTAGTCAACATTCCATGGCAGGTCCGCGAGAGATGGCGATGGATTGGGGAGACCTCCATACAGCAGTGGTTTGATCATGGTTGATGATGATCATGATGGTGAAGATTATTATATATATTTTTTAGAAAAATATATGTTTTAGTTCGCCAAGCAAAGGTAACAATTCGAAAAGAAAAACACGTTACAATGTTGAGTCTGCTGCTGGTAATGCCAATTGCTGCTGCTGATCATCCACGTGATGCTTCTTCTACCGCTGATGATGAGATTGTGACCCTTCTGCTGCTGATGAGTATTATGATATTTATGTTATTGCTATTAATAATGTTATTGATAAATATGATGATGGTGATAATAGTGATGGCAACGATCGTGCTACTGCTGCTGCTGATGGTTTCTGCTGCAGTCGCTGTAGCCGCTGACGGCGATGACGCTGCTGCTATACAATAACACGTGAAGACGCCACAACGCATTTTACTCGCTATTAGGAATCCACTGGAGCTACACATTAAAAAAAAAATCTAGATTGAAAACTCATTTCTTCAGAGCTGCTCTTTGCGTTCATTTTGCCGTCTTTCTCCCGCGCGTCCGATGAGCGCGTTTGGCTACGTAAGGTGCGAAAGAAGTTCAGCGTACCACACGTGCGTTGACAGCGACATGTGGCACGCCCCGTCAGCGGCCTCAAATTCACAAGCCAGCAGCGAGAGTCCAGCCCCGAGCTCGGAGCAAACTGTGCGGGTGGCTAAGACGCTCCCAGCCAGACGGTAACCGAGGCTCGGTGATCACGCGGCCTTATTGGCAATCCCCTGACACGGGTGATGCGGTGCGGTTCGCGTGGTCACTTCTGCATGGGAAAAAGGGGCAATTGATAAAGCGAGATGGATAAAACCAAGATGGGATTCTCTGCTCCTCTCCACTAGCCCCCCTCCCTCCCACCACCCTGCCCCCCCCCCCCCCCCCACCGCGCCAATCTCTACGAGTC